AGTGGGCCCTCACCCAATATGACTGGTGTTCTTATAAAGAGAAAACAGACACACAAGGAGAAGGGAAAGTGAAGACAGGGGGACGTTGGAGTGATGAGTTGCAAGCCAGCTGAACGCCAACGACGGTGGGACGGCACCAGATGCTGTTAGAGGTAAGGAAAAATTCTTCCCAAAAACCTTCGGAAGAGGTACGGTCCTGCTGACCCCTTGATTTCAGATTTCTGGCCTCCGGAAATGTGGGAGGGTAAATCCATCGTTTTAAACTACCCACTTGGTGGCACTTTGTTACCGCAGTCACAGGAAGCTTATGCTCCAATAAAGCAGTTTGGAGAACTCGGTTTTCTGTTCTCAAGGAAGTGGGTTTGTGTGAGTCCCATCCCTGAATAGCTGAGGGGTACAGGCTGTGCACTCCCGGAAGCCAGGCGTGCTCCCAGGAAGGAAGTTCCTGAGCATGCCCAGTTCCTGCACAGGAGCTCACCAATCAGAAGAGCCGGACGGGCCGTTGGGGGTGGCCTGGCTAAAGTTCCTCCCCCGGGAAACACACTAGTGCGGAATCAGAGTTCCGGACTAATGGTGGACGGGAGGTGCCAGGTTTTCGGCCTGCACAATGTTTTTCAAAAAAATATTTGAATCAGTGCCCAACACTTAAAGGTTGAAACATTTAGTATAAAGTCCCAGATTTCAAGCTTCTCTTTGACACTGGAAACCGTGGCCACGCTGGACCACATTCCTTGGAGGCTGTGACTGGCTGTTGTTGCAGTGGGTGCCCTCTCCAGATGGGGTGCAGGCTTTCTCCCTCACCCTTCTGCTCCCCACACCCCATGTCTGCCCCCTGATCTGCGCTACTCCTTTCTGGGCCTGCCTGGTGCGTCTTGACATTTTGGTTTAGGATTCCCAGAGTGGTGGTTAAGAGCAGAGAGTCTGAAGTCAGACGAGCCCTGGGTTCACATTCGAGCTCAGTTACTTCCTAAATGTGTGGTGTTGGGCAATTTGCTTAACCTCCATGAGCCTCAGGTTCCCCATTTGTAAAATGGAAATAATAATAGAACCTACCTTGTTGGGCTGTTGTGAGAACTATATAATGTCATCATGGGAGTCTTCTCACACTCACGCAAGGCGCCGAAGTGCCCGATAGGCCTTATTGTTACTATTTGAAAAGCGCTGTAGGAGGAATCCTGGAAGAGAAAGAGCCTCCAGCCGGAAGTGCGCTTGGTCTGGTTTTAGCGCTGCCCTTCATCCCACCAAGTTTCAGAAAAAGTATTTTAGTAAGTCAGCTTCCAAGCCCCCCTCCCCCAACTCCTGTAGTGCAGAATCCAATAGTTTTGGGAATCAGAGGTCCAATTAAGGTGGTTTCCCTCCTCCGCGCAGTTTGATTCTCCTCTGGAAGGAGATTGCAGGGAGGCAGGAAACTCTGGATCCTATCCAAATACTTACATGTCTCGGTTTTAAAATAGCTGCACTCTTAGCTGGCTTTGCAGACTTCCTAGCTGCCCTCAAAGGACAGCTTTTGCTTTGACCGATCACTTCTTCTTGGTGGCCAAGAATGATGGAAGATGCAGAAGGAACCAGCTGACTTTGAATAGTGTACTTCTGGGAAGGGGCAAGAAACCAGATGGAACTGGGAAGGAGACAGGATGACAGACAAGAATGAAAAGATTTCTTTCTTTCTTTCTTTCTTTTTTTAAATGAAGAACATACAAACTTCTTCTTGTGTAAAAGAGTGCCCAAATAGGAGGCCGTCAACCTCTGAAATGATTGCATGCTACAGAAACCAACTTAAACTAGTCCTTGTTAAAAGGTGAATGTCTTTGGAAGGCTACTGAAGTATTCCCTAGAACCGACGGACAGCAGAACCTCCCTGCAGACTAGAACCAGGAACTGGGAGTCAATCAATGCCAGGTGTGACATATTGATATCACTTAGCTGTTGATATAGTAGATGGTTACCTGGTTGTTCAAACATCAAGTATAGAGTAATCTACATTTTCTCAACTGGTCTGAATTGCCACATTTATCACATTAGAATGCGGTAAATTTTCAGTGTGTGTTTGGGTCAATTTCTGGTAAAATTCTACTCCATCTGCTATTCATGACTGTTATGAGTTCAGTTGTGTCCCACAAAAGAGACACATTAAAGTCCTGACCGCTAGTATGTCAGAATGTGACTTTATTTGAAAACAGGGTCTTGGGCTCTTGGGTGGCTCAGTTGGTTAAGCATCCAATTCTTGATTTTGGTTCAGGTCATGATCTCACAGTTTGTGAGTTTGAGCCCCTGAGTCGAGCTCTGTGCTGACAATGCATAGCCTGCTTGAGATTCTCTCTCTCTCCCTCTCTCTCTTAGAAATAAATAAATAAACTTAAAAAAATGAAATTGGGTCTTTACAAAGGAAATTAAGTTAAAATTTGGTCATGAGAGACCCCTAATCCAATACAACTGGTGTCCATATAAAAAGGAGAAATTTGGACACAGGACAGATGTGCACAAAGGGAAGATAGTTGTATGAAAAAAGAGGACTGGAATGATGCTAAGCCAGGATGATAAAGATTGCCTGAAAACCACTAGAAGTCAGGAAAAGGCAAGGAAGGATCCTTTTCCCAACAGTGTTTAAAGGGATCATGGGCCTGCCCACACCTTGATTTTAGGCTAAGAGCATCCGGGACTGGGAGACAGTACACTTTCCCCAGTTTGTGGTACATTGTTAGGCAGCCCTAGCAAACTAACATCTAATATAATATCCCAGTACCAAACTGTTTTAATTATTATAGCTTTATAATATTTATAAAGTCCCTGGTCATGTTAGTCCCTAGGAGGATATATCTTTTAAGATTAAAAAATACTATTTTATTTATACTCATGTATGAAAAAAATTGGCTGTACTACCGTGTTTACATACACGCCAATATTGGAAACAGAATTCAGTAATGAATCACTTTTAAATTTAATTAAAAAAACACACAAACATTAAAACATCAATTGGTTATAGAAAGCAGAGTGTAGGAAAAAAATCATAAGTTATCATTTTCATTAAAGAGGAGCACCCTCTGAGAAGATCAAGTCAATTAGTAATAATTCATCTATTTTGCAAAATAACATATACATAGAACAGTTAGTGATTGCACTCATTTTATTACTTTTACTAAGCCATTGTATCTTCCTCACACTCAATGCAAAGAAATAAAACAATATAAAAATATGTCTTCATTATTAATCACAATAAAAAGGGTCTGCTTCATTCGACAGCCTGGGCATATTATAAAATAGGGAGCACTTACTGGCTCAAGTGGGTCAAAGTACCATTTTGATTCTGACCCACTGAGTAGAATCTCATGCACATCTGGTGACTGGACTAACTCCATGGGAGCTGTGATGTACCAAACCATTTCTGTGGTATCCACACATCTCAACAAATTAAGAAAAGACTCTACAGAAGAAAAGATAACAATCCCTTGGGTAAATTCCTAGCAGTGCTATTGCTGGGTCAGAGGGGAGTTCTATTGTTAGTTTCCTGAGGAACCTCCACACTGTTTTCCAGAGGGGCTGCACCAGTTTACATTCCCACCAACAGTGTAGGAGGGTGCCCGTTTCTCCACATCCTCGCCAGCATCTCGTGTTCTCTGATTTGCTCATTTTAGCCACTCTGACTGGCGTGAGGTGGTATCTCAGTGTGGTTTTGATTTGTATTTCCCTGATGAGGAGGGATGCTGAGCATCGTTTCATGTGTCTGTTGGCCATCTGGATGTCCTCTTTGGAGAAGTGTCTGTTCATGTCTTCTGCCCATTTCTTCACTGGGTTGTTTGTTTTT